ACCTGTCCGTGCTGACGGCCGCCGTGGGCGCCATCCTCGTGATGGCCGTGCTCTGCAACCGCGCCGCCTTCCACCAGGACCACATGGGCCTGGCCTGCTATGCGCTGATTGCGGTGGTGCTGGTGGTCCAGGTGGTGGGCCTGCTGCTGCCCCAGCCGCGCAGCGCCTCCGAGGGCATCTGGTGGACCGTGTTCTTCATCTACACCATCTACACGCTGCTGCCCGTGCGCATGCGGGCCGCGGTGCTCAGCGGGGTACTCCTGTCTGCCCTCCACTTGGCGATTGCCCTGCACACCAACGCCCAGGACCAGTTCCTGCTCAAGCAGGTAAGGGCCCACCTGGCCGCAGGGACTGCACTGTGGGGCCAGCAGGCCAGACCTCCCACCCTCACCCTTCTAAAGTGGCAAAAGGGGCAGAGACATGGCTGTGTCATCGGTGTGGTGTCTTCCAGCCCCTTAACCCGCTCTCAGCCCCAGCATTTTCATTTGGAAGGAGTGCCTTGCATTATATGTAATGTTCCTGGCGCCGCAGCAACACGCACTAAACCATAGCCATTATTGTCGAGATGAGAATGAGGAAGGATTTGGAGCAGTCCCCTTCTCTTCCTGGGCTTCTGTCCCTGTATGTGTAGAAAGGCCCCTGACACAAGCGGCTGGGCCCTATAGCAGATTCTCCCTCCCTAGAGCTACTGCTGGTTTGTTGACGGAGCCCTGGGTAAAGGGCTGGGGAGAGCAGACCGTGGGCACCCTTTGCCCAGTCTTAAGCAACAGGAGTGATAACCTTGCCAGTTGTCTGAGGCTGGGGCTGACGAGTTGTTTCGTTTACAAAAGTGCCCCAAGCCAAAAAGCTGCCGCCAGCAAAGGTAGGAAGGAGCCTCTGAGATGTGTGGTGGCAGGCCCCCTGTTTGCCTGAGCAGAAAGCTAATGTTGGACATTGTGACCCCTTCTTATTGATGTTGATGTTTCTGGTTCTTGCCTGTGTGGGTTTGTGTGTGTGTGTGTGTGTGTGTGTAGTGCTATCTCATAGTGGTTTTGATTTGCATTTTTCTGATGGCTAATGATGTGGAGCATCTTTTCATCTAATCTTTTACTTTTAGTGACATTTGGGGAAGAAAAAGAGGTAAACAAGTGTCTGATCTACTGAGTTTAAGTCATTTTCATGTATGAGAGGAAAAACATTTTCTAAATATTTGAAAACATATAGTGATGCCAATTCTATAGTTTTCCACTTCTATATATTTAGCATGTTAATATAGTTCCTGTGTGATTAAGGAACAGCAATATTGTGCACTGGGTTTACTCTGTAAGATTACTTCTTGCATAGAGTTGAGAGAACTCACTCAAATGACTCCTCGGGGTTGACTATAAGAGCAGAACTGATCACCAAAGCCTTTCAAACTCAATGCTTTTTCCTTACCAAGGCTATTTATATCTGTGAGGCATACGTGTGTTCCACATATGATAAATATCAAATAAATATGAGA